AGTGCGTTGGAAGAAAAGCCTATTGATCTACTTCCGAAAAGTCAGTCACTGAAACCCCTATGGGTCCCAGTTCTACTGTGACACATGTGGGGTCCCCTTGAGTCAGAATTGACTCAGGGGCACTGGAGGGGAAAAAAAGACAATGAGGACATCCAGCTGCAATTGTTTTCTCTCTCTTTGGCGGCACCAGGAGGTGGGCTTTTTTGACACAGACATGAGAGTCAGTTTGGCAGTACGAGTTATAAAGATCAAAGAGCATCTCGTACTCTTATTCTTTTTCTATTGTTAGAGCTTAAATAATTATCTAATTATTGTGGAGGAATAGAATCCTTTTCTTGCTGGGATAGTATGCTTTTCCTGAAGAAGTTTACTAGGTCCACATATGCATAGGCAAGAGAAGGTTTGTCACAGGGCAAATGACTGAGACTCACCCTTAGCCTGCTGAGGCAGGGTTGCCCAAACCTAACCTGCCACTATATATGAGGAGGGAAAACCCAAATATTTTGCACTATGATAAAATGTTTGAAACGATGATAGCTATAACTGACTTTATGGTAGATCAGAGTTTCTCAACCTTAGCACTATTGACATTCTGTTGTAGTTGTGAGGTGCTGTCGAGTAGGTTTCAACTCGTAGAGACCCCACGTACAACGGAATGAAACACTGCCAGATCCTGCCCCATCCTCACAATCGTTGCTATGTTTGAGCCCATTGTTGCATCCACTGTGTCAATCCATCTCCTTGAGGGTCTTCCATTTTTTCCTGACCCTTTACTTTCGCAAGCATGGTGTCCTTCTCCAGGAACTGGTCCCTCCTGATAACATGTCCAAAGTATGTGAGGTGAAATCTTGCCATCCTTGCTTTCAAGGAGCACTCTGGCTGTAATTCTTCCAAGACAGACTTACTTGTTCTTCTGGCAGTCCATGGTATATTCGATAGTCTTCGCTAACGTCGTAATTCAAAGGCATCAATTCTTCTTTGGTCTTCCTTATTCATTGTCCACCTTTCACATGCATATGAGGTGATTGGTGACTGAAAACACCGTGGGTTGGGTCAGGCACACCTTAGTCCTCAAAGTGACATCTTTGCTTTTTAACACTTTAAACAGGTTTTTTGCAGCAGATTTGCCCAGTGCAATGCATTCTTTGATTTCTTGACAGCTGCTTCCACGAGCGTTGATTGTGGATCCAAGTAAAATGAAATCCTTGACAACTTCAAAATTTTCTCCATTTATAGTGATGTTGCTTGTTGGTCCAGTTGTGAGGATTTTTGTTTTCTTTATGTTGAGGTGTAAACCATACAGAAGGCCATGGTCTTTGATCTTCATCAGTAAGTGCTTCAAGTCCTCTTTGCTTTCAGCAAGCAAGATTGTGTCATCTGCATACTGAAGGTTGTTAATGAGTCTTCCTCCAACCCTAATGCCACATTCTTCTTCACATAGTCCAGTTTCTTGGATTATTTGCTCAGCATACAGATTGAATAAGTACAGTGAGAGGACTCCACCCTGAAGCACACCTTTCCTGATTTTAAGCCACACCAAACCAAAACCAAACCTGTTACCGTCAAGGTGATTCACAGTATCCCCTTTTCTGTTTGCATGACTGCCTCTTGGTCTATGTACAGGTTCCTCATGCACGCAATTAAGTGTTCTGGAATTCCCATTCTTTGCAATGTTATCCATAATTTGTTATGATCCACAAAGTTGAATGCCTTTGCATAGTCAATAAAACACAGGTAAACATCTTTCTGGTATTCTCTGCTTTCAGCCAAGATCTATCTGACGTCAGCAGTGATATCCCTTGTTCCACATCCTCTTCCAAGTCTGGCTTGAATTTCTGGCAGTTCCCTATCATGTACTGATGCCACCATTTTTTAATTATCTTCACCAAGATTTTACTTGCAGGTGATATTAATGATATTGTTCGATAATTTCTACATCCTGTTGGATCATCTTTCTTTAAAATGGACACAAATATGGATCTCTTCTAGTCAGTTGGCCAAGTATCTGTCTTCCAAATTTCTTGCATAGACGAGTGAGCATCTCCAGCTCTGCATCCCTTTGTTGAAACATCTCAGTCGGTATTCTGTCAATTCCCGGAGACTTGTTTTTCACCAATGCCTTCAGTGCAGCTTGGACTTCTTCCTTCAATACCATAGGTTCTTGATCATATGATACCTCCTGAAAAGGTGAACGTTGACCAATTCTTTCTGGTACAGTGACTCTGTGTATTCCTTCCATCTTTTTTTGATGCTTCCTGCATCTTTCAATATTTTACCCATAGAATCCTTCAGAATTGCAGCTTGAGGCTTCAATTTTTTCTTCAGTTCTGTCAGCTTGAGAATTCTGAGCATATTCTTCCTTTTTGGTTTTCTAACTCCAGGTCTTTGCACATTTCATTATCATACTTTACTTTGTCTTCTCAAGCCGCCCTTTGAAATCTGTTCAGCTCCTTTACTTCATCATTTCTTCCTTTTGTTTTAGCTACTCTATGTTCTAGAGCAAGTTACAGAGTCTATTCTAACATCCTTTGACACCTTCTTTCTTTCCTGTCTTTTTAATGATCTTTTTTGCTTTCTTCATGTATGATGTCCTTGATGTCACTCCACAACTTGTCTGGTCCTCGGTCATTAGTGTTCCATGTGTCAAATCTTGTCTTGAGATAGTCTCTAAATTCAGGTGTATATAATCAAGGTCGTATTTTGGCTCTTGCGAACTTGTTTTAATCTTCTTCAACTTCAACTTGAACTTGCATATGAGCAGTTGATAGTCTGTTCTGCAGTCCAACCCTGACCTTGTTCTGACTGATGAGATCTCTTTCCACAGATGTAGTTGATTTGATTCCTGTGTACTCCATCTGGCAAGGTCTATGTGTATAGTCACCGTTGATGCTGTTGAAAAATATAATCTGCAATGAAGAAGTCACTGGTTTTGGAAAAATTCTATCATTCGATCTCTGGTGTCATTTCTATCACCGAGGCCATATTTTCCAACTACAGATCTTCTTCTTTGTTTCTAACTTTCGCATTCCAATCACCAGTAATTCTCAATGTATCTTAATTGCATGTTTGATCAGAACTGCAGAAGTTGGTAAAAAGCACTCAATTTCTTCATCTTTGGCATTAGTTGTTGGTGCATAAATTTGAATAATAGTTGTATTAACTGGTCTTCCTTGTAGGCATACGGGTGTTATCCTATCACTGACAGCATTGTACTTTCAGATAGATCTTGAAATGTTCTTTTTGACGATGAATGCAGCACCTTTCCTCTTCAATTTGTTATTCCCGATATAGTAGAGCATCTGATTGTCTGATTCAAAGTGGCCAATACCAGTCCATTTCAGCTCGGTAATGCCTAGGATATCAATCTTTAATTTTTGACACCTTCCAGTTTTCCTAGATTTATACTTTGTGCATTGCACATTGCAATCATTAATGGATATCTGCAGCTGTTTCTTCTCATTTTGAGTCATGCCACATGAGAAAATGAAGGTCCCAAAAGCTATACTCCATTCCCGTCACTAAAGGCAACTCTGCTTGGAGGAGGTAGCTCTTCCCTACTCGTATGTTGAATGCCTTCCAACCTGAGGGGCTCACCTTCCAGCACTATATCAGACAGTGTCCTGCTGCTATTCGTTAGGTTTCCACTGGCCAATTTTTTCAGAAGTAGACCACCAGGTCCTTCTTCCTAGTCTGTCTTAGTCTGGAAGCTCCTTTGAAACCTGTCCACCATGGATGATCCTACTGGTATTTGAAATACTGGCGGCATAGCTTCCAACATCACAGCTACACACAAGCCACCACAGTAGAACAAACTAACAGATGAGTGGAGGATGGACATTTTAGGCTGGATATACTTTGTTTTGGGGACTGTCCTGTGTATTGTAAGATGTTTAGCAGCATCCCTGACTTTACTCACTAGACGCTAGTAGGACGCTAGTAGTATACCCCTCCCCCTCGTTGTGACAGCCAAAAATATCTCCAGACTCTGCCAAATGTCCCCTGACACCCAGTTGAGAACAGCTGTTACAGACAAAATTTAGAGTTAGTTTCATAACTAACCAGAATGGCACAACCTTCTTCTGAATCACCTGGACCTGGAGTTTGTTCTCCGAGTTGGAAATGCACAGCTTGTCCAGATTCTAGATAGTTCTAGCCAAGTAGATGAATTTACATTGTTCCCCCAACCTGCCTCTCTTCTTTTTTCTGTTTCTTTTTCCTCATTCACTCATCTCATATTATACACTAATTGCTTTGTATCAGACACTGTGGTCCACGCTGGGGATATACAGATGAACATAGCACATTCTTTCTTGTCTCTAGAATCTTAATCTAGACTGGAGATGGAGAATGACAAGTAAAATCACAACGGAAGTCGAGTGCTTTGTTAGAGAGATCCAGGGTGTAGGTGAAGATCAGACGAGGAATACCTGACTCTGGCTGGAAAGAGCTAGGGAAGCCTTCACAGAGGAAATATCTTGAAAGATAGATAAGGGCTTGGGAGGTTACTGGGGAGGAATGGAAGGGGCAAGATGATTCTACAGAGGGCAGCAGGTACCATGCATGCAGACAGGAAAGAATAGTGGCCTGGTGTCTCTTTGATTTTATTGCATTTACTCCGTTGTTCATAATCTACACGACTCAGAAATCTCTAAACTTTTCTGCAGTGAGAAACTATTTGCTCCTCTACAAAAGTTTAAGTAGGTCTTCATTGCACAAAGATTTTATTTTTAAGAAAAGGCATTGAGAATGTGCCTGTTTAAGACTAAGGTGGTGGTCAAAGTTATCAGCAAACACATCAAAAAGACCGCTTCTCTTTGTTAACCAATGTCATAAAACAGCATGTGTGTTACTGTTACATGAGAAACTATCTGTTCTGTAAGCCTTCACCTGAAGTACAATAAAAATTAAAAAAAAAAAAAAAAGACCGCTTCTCACTGATGAAACGTCATCTTGGAATATGTCCACTTCTTTCATGATTCACTTCTTTTTCTATTGAACAGGATACCAAACCCAAAAAACTTACCAAAAAGCAAACCAGGAGGCTAATGTGCCAAGAACAGAAAGAAGAAGAACTACGGAATGATCTAGTATCTTCTATTCACAAAGAGATGAGAGAGAATTTAAATTCTGGAATAAAGAAATTAGAGGATTGTTTGAAGTCATGTTCAAGGATTCCAGAGAAATTGGAACTTGAAATGGTAGGATTGACCGTCTGCTTTGAAACATGGAAAGAACACTGCCGAGGTGAAGGTATGTGACTCTATATTGTATGAGTAAAGACTAATAATAAAATAATAATGATTTATCTATTTATGTATATTTATTGAATGCATGGCTGTGCCAAAAACTTTACATACATTATCTGATTTTATTCTCAATACAACTCTCTAAGACAGTTATTACCATACCTATTTTACAGATGAGGAAGTAGAAATGTAAAAAAGTTAAGAGACAAGGTCTCAGCAAGGAAAAGATGGCATCCTCAAAAAGAATTTGAAGAAAGTGTAATGAAAGGACTCTTTCCAAGGTGTGAAAAGAACTAGGGAACCAACAAGGAATGATGGGCTCAGGGCCCATCAAAACAAGGAAGCTGTTTGTAGTTGCTTTCGTTCAGTGCTGTCAAGTCAGTTCTGGCCCATAGCGACTCCATGAACAATAGAACGAGACACATCCAGTCCTGTGCCATCCTCACAATCATTATGCTTGAGCCCTTTGTTGCAGCCACTGTGCCAGTCCATCTATTGAGGGTCTTCTTCTTTTGCACTGACCTTCTACCAAGCATAATGTTCTTCTCCAGGGACTGGTCCCTCCTGATAACATGTCCGAAGGATGTGAGAGGAAGTCTCCTCATCCTTGCTTCTAAGGAGCATTCTGGGTGTACTTCTTATAAGACAGATTTGTTTGTTTTTCTGGCCACCCATGGTATATTCAGTATTCTTCACCAACACCATTATTCAAAGGCATCAATTCTTCTTCAGTCTTCTTTATTAATTTTCCAGCTTTTGAATGCATATGAGGCAACTGAAAATACCATGGCTTGGGTCAGGCACACCATAGTCTTCAAAGTCACATCTTTCCTTTTTAACACTTTAAAGAAATCTTTTGCAGCAGATTCGCTCAATGCAATGCGCCTTTTGATTTCCTGACTGCTGCTTCCATGGGCGTTGACTCTGGATCCAAGAAAAATGAAATCCTTGACAACTTCAATTTTTTCTCAGTTTATCATGATGTTGCTTATTGGTCCAGTTATGAGGACTTTTGTTTTCTTTATGTTGAGGTGCAATCCATACTGAAGGCTGTAGTCTTTGATCTACCGCTGATATCTGAAGTGGCTGTTGGGAGAAGATTCTCCATGGGTCTTTCATGTTTCTGCAGGACTTGCAAGCAGAGGCACAGACCACTTTTATACTAGACTGTCTTCTCAAGGATGTTTGAATAGTAAATAGTCTCAAAAGACAGAGATTCCTGAATGGTTTGCAATCTCCTTCTAACCTAAATGTTGACAGTTTGAACCCACCCTGTGACACCATGGAAGAAAGGCCTGGCAATCTGCTTACATAAAGATTATAGCCAACAAAACTGTATGGAGCAATTCTACTCTGTAACACATAGGGATGCCATGTATCAGAATCGACTCAACAGCAACAGAATCTTTCTTTTTTTTTTTTTTTTTTTGGGTTTTTAGAGTCAGGGGCAGGTTTGTTTACACTCTGGTGTAATAAACATAATGTCCCCCTCTAGGGCAAAGGGGCAGGGTTGCTTGAAGTCCATCATAAACGACTTGGATTTTCCAAGTTCAGGGTTCCTTGGCTGTCACACAAACCCACTGTGCGTGCAGTCTTTACCTGGTATCTGATTGTGGAGGACCCCCCTATCTCCCCCATGGAACTTAGGAGAAAAGGAGGACTGACACACACGTGATGTCCATGATCCTTGCTGTGTCATAAATAATAAATCCAGAGACAATCTGTGACCCAAGAGTCTCATGTGAAACTATAGCAGGCTAAATTATTGGCTTTAAGATAGGGTCGGATCTCAGCCCCTCGTAGTCCTGGACAAGATCCAGGGAAGAGAGTGGTTATGAGAACTCCCTGAAAGCTGTAGATGTCAGAGAGTAGATGCCCAAATGGCAGCCCTAGAGAGTGGAACATGAGCATGGCCAAATCATGGCAGGAAGGGAGTGGAGTAGACCTGGGTCCTGCCTGCCTTACATTCTGTGTGCTCCCTGAGGCTTCGCTGACTCCTGTGCCATACTTTATCAATGTCTCCAGTAGGTACTAGAGAGACATTTTGGCTAAAGGTTTAGCAGAAATGACGTGTGCTTCCCATTTTCTGGCATTATATCCTCATGTGTCTCATATAGTCTGTGTTTTTATTCTTTATTTTCCTGAAGATTGAAATGTGGAAGGGACAGTTTTCTATCTCTACGTCAGAAAGAACCAGGACTGAGTAGAGATATATAATTGTGACGCTATCTCCAGTTTGACAATTCTACCCCCAAGTAGTTCTTGTTGGTCACCTTGTCTTGAGTACCTTCTCACTCATCCTTTTTATCCATGCCATATGACTCTTTTCATATCTCATTATTCTACTGCCCAGCATCTGCTGTTGCAGGACCAATCCTTCAGTGGGCCCTTATATACCGTGCTCATTACCATCTCTAGCTTCTGTATTTTTCCTTATCCAGGGCGTTGTATCAGTTTGGAATTGCCACTGGCTTCTAATAGCAGAGATGTGAATTAGCAATGGCCAAAAGAAGATAGAAGTGCATTTCTCTCTCATGTATAAGAAGTCCAGAGTTAGGCAGCCAGTGTCACTGGGGACTTAGACTCCCCTGTCATCATTCTCCACCATCGCTGGTGCATGGCGCACGTTCTTAATGTCACGTCATGGATGAGGTTGGCTGCTCGAACTCCAGCCATTAATGGCCATATTCCAGAATAAGTAGGAAGAAGGAAAAAAGGCAAATAGGTTCCATCTCAGTTGTATTTCCACCATTAAAGGAATCGTCCCAGAAATTCCACAAAACAACTTCTGCTTACATCTTAGTGGTCAAACTCAGTCATGAAGCCATACTTAAACCCACTGGAGATTAGAAAATGTGGACTTTAAATTGGGCACAACAGAGCCTGTTAATATAGGGATCAATAAGGAAGAATGGAGTAATGGATGCTGAAGAGGCAGTTATGAGTCTCTGCTAAAGACATCCTCCTCCTTAGTCCCAGCTGCCTAAATTCTACCATCTACCAAGGCCTATGTCTTATCTTCTCAATGGTTTTCCACCTTCTCAGCTACTCCAGTTCTGATAACACTGCCTCTATCACTCTCATTTTTATAAAATGAATTATAAATTAACGAATTTAAAATCACTTAGATTAATTATAAATTATTTAGAAATTATGTAGATTTGTAAATTATTTATAAATCCAAGTGATTATAAATTTATAATTACTGAATTATAAAGTACTTAGATTTCGTATTTGCTTCAAAAACAAGCCCTGGTTTATCCAACTGGACTGAAAGCTCCTGGATGTAGAAACCTTCTCTTAAATTTCGTTTGTATCCCTTAAAGCTTACATCAGGGGCATCGCTGCAGCTCTTTCTGCGAAAGGGTTAGTTGCTGTTAGTTGCCATCAAGTGAATCCCAATTCACGGGGACCCCCATGCGTGCAGAATACAACTGCTCCGTAGGGTTTTCAAGGCTGGGACCTTTTGGAAGCAGATCATCAGGCCTGTCTTCCAAGGCACCTCTGGGTGGGTTCGGACTGCCAACCTTTCTGCTAGTAGTTGAGTGCTATAGGGTTTGCACCACTGAGAGACTCTGAAAGCATTAGTAGTGGGATAGAAATAAAGAGGCTATAAGTGAACGTGAGGTAACAGAGAGGGTTAGGAGAGTATCTCTAAAACAGCAGGGAGACAATGATGTTCTACTATTAGCTCTGCTTCACTAAGGGTCTTCACTGATTATTTCATAAATACAAGTACCATGTGTGTTCCACACTTGTTGTTAGGTGCCATTGAGCCAGTTCTGACTCATAGCGACCCTGTGTACAACAGAAAGAAATGCTGCCCAGTCCTGCGCCATCCTCATGATTGTTCCACGCTAGGTCTTACTAAATGTTACTCACATTTTGGTCGGCTACCTAAAGTTATAGGGTTCTTTTTATTTTTATGCATATAGAATATAAGGCATATACAAATAATTGGTGGATTATTGCTTTATTTTCCTCCAGAAACTTGTTCAGAACTGAATGTAAATTTTTCTTATTTACAAAGTGGTCGCCATGAGTTGCAATCAACTCGACAGCAGCTAACAACACCATACTCACACAGCTATTTCCAAATTATGTAAAATGATAATAAAGTATGAATAGGTGTAGTACTAATTTTATTTAATCATGAGTTTTAGTTCTTTATGCTCTAAGACCTCCATTAAAGTCAAGTAATCTAATTAGGTTAGTTGATTGACTAGGCGATTGTCATGAGTAATCAAGCATTTATTATTTCTGATGCTCTTTGTAACAATTTCATCGTTTCTTTTACAAGGCAAGATTTCAAAAGATCTAAGTATAGCTGTTCATATGATGGAAAGGATCTATTCACTCCTGCAAAGATACGAAGGATTTTTATTAAAGCAAGATTATGAATTTATAGCCAAATGCCTTAAATATTTAGGTTTTAATGATATGGCAAACTCTTTAGATCCAACTCTGGTAAGTTAATTAGAATTTCTTATTACTTTTAAGTTTTAATCAATTTTAATATTACAGAAAAATCAAAAGGTATCATAAAGTAGCTCATATATCCAGTTATCACCTGAGCATATTTACTTTGATTCTAGTTTATAAAATGATGGTTTTGAGACAACTTATTAGTAACCTAGCTGCCAAATTTGAAGTTAGAATTGGAAAATTTGTACAGATGTTTCCCAGAAGTAGAGATAGTATCAGATGCTCTCTGGAAACCACTTTGAACTCTCTTGGTAACAGAAAATGAATCCTGTACTTAATTCTAGCACAATATCTAAAAACTGTAGTGAGATTGAATGGGCTTTGATAAGCTTCTAGCTCCCGGTTCCAAGAAAAACATTTTTAACATCAATATTTTCTGTTTTATTTATCCATAGAATGATGTTGTAGGTGATAAAAAGTCTTTTAACTTAAATATTACACTATTTAAAGGCATAGTAGAAATGCCTACTGCATGGAATGTGCTCAGTAAATATTTATGAATAGTTATTCAATTTTGTAATTTATTTCAAGTAAAATAACATTAAAATCATAGCAGATGACAGACAAGAAAAAGAAGAAAAAGGATAAATATTCAATTGACATTGGACCAGCTAGATTTCAACTCCAATACACAGGCCATTGTTTGATGAGAGATGAGAGAGAAGATCTAGATCCCAGGGTCCAGGAGTTTATTCCAGACGCATGGCAGGTAATGGAAACAACCATTCTACTATTTACTTATTTAATGTGATTTTAGGGACGTCTCATTACTGTGTCTCTACGTGTTACATTTGATATGAGCTTCTCAATTTCAAGTAATATCATTTGGAACAGTTTCATGGAAAAGGATAACCGTAGACTATTTTCCCATTTAGGGAACGTGAACCTTCATGTACCTCTAAGCTGTTTTCACGGGGGTACTGTGATTGAGTCCCTTAGACGTCTTTGAGGCTGGATCTGCAACGCCCAGTCCTATTAGTATAGAGGAACCTCCAAGAATCGCCTGTGGCAACAGAAATATTTGTGTATAGATATAAATGTGTAGAGAGAAATTTTGGCTGTCTGAACGGGGAACTTGTATCTCAGTTTTCAACAATACCATCCGTGACTAGGCAAGAAAGTTAACCTGGTTGTGCATTATATTATTGGAATGCTCTTTGATTGCTGGTAATATAGTCACCGTCCAGGATGGGCATTTTCTGAAGGGTTCATTTTTTTCTGATGTGATCCATCAATATTGCCTTGGATTTCTGTAGGAGAGTTGTGGGCAAATAAGCCGAAAAACATTTTAAGTGAACAGAAGTATGTGCATCAGGCTTAGATAGTTATACACTGAGCTCGCAACATTGTAGCTCTTCTTAAACGCGTTTACATAAAATTGATGAGAACTGACTTAGAAACGAGAATGAAATGTATCCGTGCAAGAAGTTGGAAGCTGGCCTTCTTTGTTTCTAGAGCAGGAGGATCAATTCTTCACTCTAATGTGGGTCAAGACAGCCAAATAGTCCTAGCCCTGTGCCAATTGTCGTTTTTCCAATGAGTTCACTCTAGGGGTCGCTGGGAGGGGCCTTAAGTAAAGAGTGTGTGGGGGCAGGTATGTTTTCCCATCTTCTGCACATCATGCAGTGAGCAAACGGGATTAAGATTATTTGACTAGTCATAATTTTAATGGGATGTAAGAATTGACAGTGAGCAATTCTCTCACGTGCCCTCAAGGTTGTGGTCATTGTTATTAGGTGCTGTTGAGTTGATTTCGACTCATAGCAACTCTATAGGACAGAGTAGAACTGCCCCATAGGGTTTCCAAGGAGCGGCTGGTGGATTTGAACTGCTGACCTTTTGGTTAGCAGCCGAGAGCTTATCCACTCCATCACCAGGGCTCCGCCCTCCTGGTAGGTAGATGCTTTTCTCCCATATCAGTGGAATGTAAATAGAATGTGATAAGCCACTGACTTTTTTTCCTTCTTGGCCTTTTTATTTTCACCATTAGGAAAAAAAGTTGATGTAGCATTACTTAGAACTCAATTTCAAAAGCTTTTTTCTGTTCTTAGTAAATGATGAATAACTGGGAAAAAAATGTTTTCGGAGTGAAAAGAATGTCTCACTCAGTCTCACTTCCCATTTATTCAGAACCAAAGTCTACCTCATGCTAAAAAGTAAAATAAAAGCTTTTTCTGAGGGAATAACATGGGCAGTGCAGACATTCTCCTGAATCATCATTTTGGGTGTTTATCACACCCAATCTTCAGAGGTTCAGAGAGTTCTCCTGAATGTATTGTAAAAAAAACAACAACAACGAATCATTGCTATCCAGTCACCTCTGACTCATAGTGACCCGGAAGGATAGACGAGAACTAGCCCCTAGGGTTTGGTGGATTCAAACTGCCGACCTTCTGGTTAGCAGCTAAGCTCTTTAACCACTGTACCACCAGGGGCACCTAATATAGAAGGGGAGTCCCTGGGTGATGTGATACTTAAGCACTTGGCTACTAACTGAAATGCTGGCAGTTTAAATCCACCAGAGGTGCCTTGGAAAAACAGCTTGGTGATCTATTTGTGAAAAAAAACCCAACCATTGAAAACCCTGTAAAGCACAGCTCTACCCTGATACACATGGGGTAGCCATCAGTCTTAATCCACTCGTGGCAACTGATTTTTTTCTTTTGAGATAGAGGGTACAAATTGTTTGGTAACATGCTGTTTACTTCTGTGACACTCTGAACCCACAGCGAGAGCTCCTGGATGTTGTGGATAATAATGAGTCAGCAGTGGTTGTTGCCCCAACGTCCTCAGGCAAAACCTATGCTTCTTACTACTGCATGGAGAAGGTGCTGAAGGAGAGCGATGACGGTGTGGTTGTGTATGTGGCACCAACAAAGGTAGAGCTCCAGCGAATATAATTTTCTCTCTCATTCCTGAGCCTCGTCTTCTAAAATAATGCAAGTGGTCATGTGGTGGATCTAGTTCACTTTGTTTTTTAATCTGCATTTTCACCTTACGGTTTCAGAGGACATAACAACACTTTTGGATGAAGCCCTATGTATTTGCATTTGACTGCATTGAGTGCTATTGATTAAGCCTAATTTACTTAGTCAAGTAACTCATACAGCCATTTAGTGTACCCAGGGATAGGAAGAGGGTTGTTTTCTAGGCTCTTCGAAGGATATACCTGTAGAGAGATTGTTGTCCTCTGAGGTTTTACATATCTATTCTCTACAAAGTGACTAATGGACTTTTTTCCTTCTCAATCAGGCTCTTGTTGGTCAAGTGGCAGCAACTGTTCAGAACCGTTTTACTAAAACGTTGCCGAACGATACAGCTTTATGTGGTGTTTACACGCCGGATTACCGTTGCGATGCACTAAACTGTCAGGTACGCAATTACTGTCAAATCATAGAATAGTACTTACGGACCTCTTTTACTAAGAACTAATAGTCACAAAACTTTATGGAAATAATTTCATTGAATTTACAAAATAGGAAATCGCTATTGGAAAAATTTAAGATTGCTCCACTCTAAAGAGGAGAAATAGGCTCATTCTCTATGGACACTTACACTATGATCTGAAAAGTCAAATCATGGGTTATCGCGTCTCATTCTAGTTTATGTTATTAGGTGCCGTCGAGTCGGTTCCAACTCATAGCGACCCTGTGTACAACAGAAAGAAACACTGCCCAGTCCTGCGTCATCCTCACAATGGTTGTTATGCTTGAGCCCATTGTTGCAGCCACTGTGTCAATCCATCTCATTGAAGGTCTTCCTCTTTTTTCACTGACCCTCTGCTTTACCAAGCATGATGTCCTTCTCCAGGGACTGATCCCTCCTGATAACATGTCCCAAGTATGTAGATCTGACAAACTCAGTATGTTATTAAATAATTACCTGAGCTCTTTCCATTCAAAATTGCTAGTTCGTGTAAACGATATTTTAAGGATACTCATTATAAAAATTTGCCTCAAAGAGATTGTTTTGATAGTGTACCTTTTGTTAGATAAATCACAGAAAAAGATAGTTAAGAAATTATTGAAATCAAAGTCAAGAAGTTAAGATTAAACAATAAAATAAAACCATCAATACAGAGCATTAGCTTTTTTTCATTTTCATCAATCCAAACGCTCATAAATATAAGGATTTAAACTTCACATGTCAGAGATACACCGTGATCTTCATGCAACTGTCCCTCAGAAACAATCTTCTATCCTACTTACCAGTAAGTACACATAATTAATCATATACATATATATTTTAGGTTTCTGTTGCCATGACTTGCTCTGTTACACATAAGGTCACTGTGAGTCAGAGCTGAGTCAATGGCAATAACAATAACAAATTACCATGTCTGAAACAAAATAAATGCTCAATAAACTTCCTAAATAATCATTCATATTTTTAGGTACTTGTTACGGTGCCTGCGTGTTTTGAAATTCTGCTGCTTGCTCCTCATCGCCAATATTGGGTAGAAAGGATCAGATATGTTATATTTGATGAGGTAGGTTTGGGGTTATTTCTCTGGGTTGATGTCCGAGTGTACAAACGCACTATAATTTCAAATTAAAGAACATGGGGCTCTGTCAATGATGGTGATTATGTAAGTTGTTGTATGAGTCATGGTACCAACAGGAAATAGATGGCATATTAAAATTAGCGTAATTTCCAGAAAAGTGGTTAAGAGCTTGGTTGCCAACCAAAAGGTCAGCAGTTCAAATCCACCAGCGGCTCCTTGGAAACCCTATGGGGCAGTTCTACTCTGTCCTGTAGGGTTGCTATGACTTGGAATTGACTCAGTGGCAGCGGGTTTGGTTTTGGTTTTTTGGTTTACTTACAAAGGTGAGTGTGAAGAAAACCACCAAGGTAAGTGTAGTAATCCAGAGCCAGTAGCAGTCTCAAGCTGTTCTCATCTGTAGGTGTGAAGGAAGGAGGAAGTAGTATGGAGCTCAAAAGTCTGTAGACTCTCTTTGGGAAAAGCAGTGACCTTGGTGGAGGAACGTAGCCAACCGAAGTCAACCTCTTAAGAAGAGAGCTAAGAGAATATCGACCTTGACTTCGCTGTCTTCCCTCTTTCCTGTCTCTTGCCTCTGCTTTCTTTTGGCCAAACACAACAGAAGCCAGAGAGCAGGGGGTGGGGGCAGCTGAGGCAGATCCTAAGATCAGACTCCCTAGTCAGAGAGCAAAATGGAGAATGGTGTAGATCTGGAGTAACCTAGCCATATCTTTACATTTTTTTGAAGGAGATTTAAATAGAATGCAAGCTATGCATTTCTTTACTTCAAGGAATTTTTTATTTAAAAGAGAACTAGACGATAAAACTGCAGTGAGTCTACCCTTCCCTTGTATGAAGTTTGGAGCAAGCTAGCATTCTGTCATTCTGCTTTCTTTTGCCCTGAAGTACTCTTTCTTTTTTGTTCACTGGGCTATATTGTGTCTTGCTCATCTTGCGTATTCCCGTCCTAAGGAGAAACACAAAATGACAAAACAAAATCCTTGATCGTCACAATCCGGAATCTTGGATTATGGTCTAATCTCAAAATACATAAATACAATGACGGTAAAAACCTGTAGAAAGGTTTTGAAAATTAATGTCTGTTCTAGAAAGTTCAGAGAATATTGCTAGTTGATACAAAATAAAGGTTATTATTTGGTAAAGTGGTCTATCATCTGATCAGATCAAAGCCAAAAGGAATACAGAAATACACCATTTAAGTCGCAATTATTTTCTGTTATTTGGTTCTGATATTGTCTTTCCAGGTGAGTCCTGCCACAGTTTATTCTGTTTAATTAAGACCAGATTTTGGGCCTCTTCTCTAAGTCTGGTTTAATTATTTAGTTAAATCGAATTGATTCTTCATTCGATGAATATTGATTGAGTGCCTACTGAGTGTTAGGCGCTGACTTTACTCCTGGTGTACCAGTAACAACCTTATGGTTTAGTGAGGGAGAGAGGAAGTAAACAAAGAAATATACCAGTGAATATCTAAGGACAACATTGCGATAAAAATGCTGAAGAAAATGATTAGGCTGTCGTGGCCAAGATAATGGCAAAACAGGAAGTAAGGGCAACTTTGAAGTCGGTGCTCAGAGAAGGTATTTCTGAAGGAACAGCTCTCAGTTGAGTTTTGTAGGGAAGTAGGAATAATCAGGCTAAGAGAGACAGGTGAGCATTTTGAGTGGAGGGAGTAGTGTATGTGAAGGCGTTGAGGTGGGACAAGTGTGTTCAAGGAATGAAAAGAAGGCCAGATTGTCTGGAACAGAGTGAGCGAGGGGGAACAGTGGCTTGAGATGAGGTTGGAGAGGTGGACAGGGACCAGAGCATGCAGGGTATTACACGCCCACTTAAGGGCTTTGAATTTTGCTCTAAATGCAGCAGGAAGGCATCACAGGCTTTTAATAAGGGACATGGCCTGATTCAAGTTAAATTAAAAAAATATATATACCATTATAGCTACAATGCGGAAATGTGTAGGGAAAGAGGAGAAGCTAAGAGAACAATCAGGAGGCTATTGTGGAAAACCAGGTAATTTTTAGCTTGAATGCCGCTGGCGATGGAAGGGAAAACATGGCTTCAAAAGAGATTTTTGGAGGTGGAATCAATAGGAATTAGTGATGGATTTGCAAGGACAATAATAAATCAATCTTCACATGCCAACTGGGTCATGTAGAAATCTCAGAATCCCACTATTCTGTTTCCACGTCTGATAGGATATAACCAATACCCACTTTCCCACCTCTCCGTGAGTTCTGACACCAGCCACCCATGCTGCCCTTCCTTTGCTGACCTAGCCAAGCTGACCTAGGTCAAATCTCACAAGTTAAAAGGACAGTGTCCTTCAGACTGCCAAATCGGCATACACCAGCTGCAAACTCAGAAGTCCGCATGACACCCTTCTACCCGATGGCTACAAATTTAGAGATCTTCCCACTACCCCTTCAGGATGCCAGCCATTAGCTCAGGAGTCCACGTACAATACTTTCGCCTGCTGGCTCCCACTACTCCTTTGGGTTTGATAATTTCCTGGAATGTCTCACAGAACTCACAGCAAGTACTATCCTTACGATTATAGATTTATTATAGCAATAGGATACATATCAGGTCTGGAAGGATTCCCAGCTGGAAGCTTCTGTGTCCCAAAGGGGAGTGCTAACCTCCCAAGTGTACTGATGTCTTTCACCAACCAGGAAGTTCTCGAAACTTCCATGCCCAGAGCTTTTAGTCATGATTGCATAGTCTTGATTAGGTCCTCACTGAATAATACATGACTGATTAAATCATACCCCACCCCCCTTCCTGAGACTAGTTGAGCAGGTGATCTTTGTAACCTGGCTAGCCCTCACTCATTTGCACAAATCCTCAGGAGTAGTCTGAAGGTTTTAAAATAATAAAGGCACCTCCTCCACTACTCAGGAAATTCTAAAGTTTTAGAATTCTCTCTCAGGAATGAAGTTCAAAGGCCAAATTGAGTTCTTTATCTCACAGATTTGTTATGGAGACTGAAGTAACATGTAGTATCAGTTGTCTTTATTGTCTGAATTCAACATTATTTGCCTTATTTAAGCATGGTCAAGTATATGAAATTGGAAAACTATGCATGACTATTTAATGCTTCTATAATTTTTTCCAAATACCATTTTCAAATCAACTTTTCAACTGAGAAATTTTTTTTTTTAATAGGTCCATTGTCTTGGTGGAGAAATTGGAGGAAAATATTGGGAGCGCATCCTTGTCATGATTCAATGTCCATTTCTGGTCCTTTCAGCTACCATAAGCAACCCTGCACATCTCACTGAGTAGGCATTAGTTCCATTTTGGAGGGATAGTTATTATGTATTGAATGCCTGACTTATATACTATCTCTACTGGTCTGCAGTCCTTAAGGTTATTTCTGTAGTTTTCTCATCCTTGAGTAATGCTCTAACTTTCGGATAAATGCATTTACCTATTTTTGAAACTTAGGAGAATACAACTTCTCAAAAATATTTTGTCCCATTTATTTATTTTTATTTTTTGCCTTTTTAAAATTGTACTTTAAAGGAAGGTTTACAGAGCAAACTAGTTTCTCATTAAACAATTAATACACACATTGTTTTGTGACATTGGTTGCCAACTCCACGACATGTCAACACTCTCCCCTTCTCGACCTTGGGTTACCCGTTACCAGCTTTCCTGTCCCCTCCTGCCTTCTCATCCTTGCCCCTGGGCTGGTGTGCCCATTTAGTCTTGTTTTGTTTCATGGGCTTGTCTAATCTTTGGCTGAAGGGTGAACGTCAGGAGTGACATCGTTACTGAGCTATAAGTGTTTCTAGGGGCCATACTCTTGGGGTTTCTCCAGTCTCTGTCAGACCAGTAAGTCTTCTTTTTTTTTTTTTCTTTTTTTTTGTGAGTTAGAATTTTGTTCTACATTTTTCTCCAGCTCTGTCTGAGACCTTCTATTGTGATCCATGTCAGAGCAGTTAGTGGTGGTAGCCAGGCACCATCTGGTTGTGCTGGAGTCAGTCTGGTGGAGGCTGTGGTAGTTGTGGTCCATTAGACCTTAGGACCAATCTTTCCCTTGTCTTTTTGGTTTTCTTCATTCTGTCTTGCTCCAGGCTTGGTGAGACCTGTGGAGTATCTTAGATGGCCGCTAACAAGCTTTTAAGACCCCATCAAAAATATTTTGAGGGTATATTTCCTGGTAGGCATAGAGGGAAACCATGTTCCCCAAAAGAAAATCAAGGTCTCCCATGACCAGATCGGAAATTGTGTAGGAAATTTTCCAAAAATTCTCCAGTAAGTGTCATATAAAGTGATAGACGGAGCACTGGTGGCTCAGTGCTTAAGAGCTCAAGCTGCTAACCAAAAGGTAAGCAGTTTGAATCCACCAGCCACCCCTTGGGAACCATATGGGACAGTTCTGCTCTGTCCTATAGGGTCGCTATGAGTCGGAACCAACTCACCGGCAACGGGTTTGGTTTTTGGTTTAAAGTGATAGATTTATACTCCCTTTTCTTTGTCCAGGGAGCCTTGGTGGCACAGTGGCTTAAGCACTCAACCGCTAACTGAAAGGTTAGTGGTTTGAACCACCAGTGGCTCAGCGGGAGAAAGACATGGCTGTCCACTTCCAAGATTTACAGCCTTGGAAACCCTGTGGGGTTGCTATGAGTTGGAATCAACTTGACGGCAGTGGGTTTGGATTTGGGTTTCTTTGTCCTTCTCCAAAAAGAAAAGTTAACATAGAAATAACCCAAACACAGCTACTCACCTTGAGGCTTCTTAACATTGTTCCACCTTGCAGAAGGTGATCATGAAAATAACAGAATCTTATTATTAGAACATCAAGTGTTGTTTTGTTAAGAGTTGATTTTCTCTAATAACAACAATAACACATAATGCTTCCTCTGTGGCAGGAATATTAACTCATATTATCTTTACAACAATCTTAGTAAGGAAGATGATACTATCATCCTCCATTTTATGATGAAAAAACAGAGACATAGAGAGGTTAAGGAACTTGCCTGAAATCCATGGCTGTTAAGTGATTTAGGATACAAACTCAAACCAAAACTAAAAAAAAAAGAAAAAAAAAACAGAGCCCCAGTGTCTTAGTCATCTAGTGCTGCTTTAACAGAAACACCACCAGGGGATGGTTTTAACGAAGAGAAGTTTATTTCCTCACAGTTAAAGTGGGCTAAAGTCCAAATTCAGGGCGTCAGCTCCAGGGAAAGTCTTTCTCTCTCTGTTGGCCTTCTCATGAGTGTTCCCCTGGACTAGGAGCTTCTCGGCACAGGGACCCCGGTCCAAAGGATGCACTCTGCTCCTGGTACTGCTTTCTTGATGGTATGAGATTCTCCTGTCTCTCTGCTCACTTCTCTCTTTTATATCTCACGACATTGCCTCAGGACACAATCCAGTCTTGTAGATCAGGTCCTGCCTTACTCACACAACTGCCACCCATCCTCCCTCATTAACATCATAAAGGCAGGATTTACAACATATAGGAAAACCACACAATACCGGGAATCATCGCCTAGCCAAATTGATACACACATTTTTTGGGGGACATAATTCAATGTATGACATTCCACCCTTTGGCACCCCCCAAAACCACATCCTTGCAACATGGAAAACATATTTACCCCATCATATCATAGCAAAAGTCTTAACTCCAAGTCCAAAATCCAAAAATTCCTCTTCATCTGTGAAATATAGAATACAAGTTATTTGCTTCCAAAGGTACAATGGCAGAACAGGCACAAGCTAGACATTTCCATTACAAATGCGAGAAACTGGAGGGAAAGAAGTGATAACAGGCACCAAGCAAGTTAGCAGAACACATTGCATTAGCCCTCAAGGCTTTGAAAATAATCTTCTGTTCTCTGAGACAATTTACACAATGGCCCTGCCCTCCAGACTCTAGGTATTGACCACGCTCTCTAGATTCTGAGTGGAGGCCTCTCAGCCCTGGGCTTCAGCTCCACCTTCCAGGCCCACTGGGACAGCAACTGTGCTCCCTTGGCTTTAGGCGCACCATTCTCCCAGTCCATCTGAGTGGCGACTCCACCCTTAGAAGCACCAGAGGCCATGGCTCCACCTTTAGAAACCCCTGAGGTCATGGCCCATACCTTTGGAGACCGAGGCAGCTAGGCTTCTTGTGTCCCTTTTCTCTTCAACTTGTTTTCTGGTTTCTTGGCCTCTGGGCTGCTCGGGCCTCAAGCCTGCATCTGCCCTGCTGAGGCAAGTGTTCCAAAGCTCTGTAGCTCCACCAATAAGTGCCCGGATGCACCCCACTCCACCAGAAAGCCTCGGGCACACAGGCAGTCAGCTCCCTTACTCTGTGTGTCGGCAAGCCTAGCTCCACCGATAAGTACCCAGAGGCACCCCACTCCGCCAGGAAGCCTCCTGCGCACAGGCACTCAGCTCTTTCGCTCCGTGGGTCGGCTCCAGCTCCGTCTCGCACTGCTCTCCTGGTTCTGCTGCTGTTGGTTTTCTGCCACTGCCCTTTCTCTGCTGCTGCAGGTTCTCTGCTGCTGCTGGTCCTCTGTCACTGCCACACTTCTATCCATTCACGGTTTTAAAACTGCTTCCACATTTTAGGTATCTGTTAGAGCAGCACCCCACTCTCTCGGTACCAAATTCTGTCTTAGTCATCTAGTGCTACTCCAATGGAACTACCAAAGTGGATGGTTTTAATGAAGAGAAATTTATTTCCTCACAGTCAAAGTAGGCTAAAAGTCCAAATTCAGGGTGTCAGCTCCAGGAGAAGGCTTTTTCTCTCTGTAGGCGTCCTCCTTGTCGGTGTTCCCCTGGATTAGGAGCTTCTCTGTGCAGGGACCCCGGTCCAAAGGATGCACTCTGCTCCTGGCACTGCTTTCTTGATGGTATGAGGTCCCCCTGTCTCTCTGCTCACTTCTGTCTTTTATATCTCAATAGATTGCCTCAGGACACAAACCAAGCTTGTAGACTGAGTCCTGCCTTACTAACACAACTGCCACCCATCCTCCCTCAT